GCTACACTGTCACCGATACTTTGAAGCACGCGACGAACTAAGTCCTCTATACTCGGCTGGGACGGGTCGGAGTTTGACATAGTCACTTCCTCTTTTTTTTTTACACAAACGCCCCAAATGCAATGACCCTGCCACGTGTCAACCCTTGAACACGTGCTGACGCTAACACGTTAATATAGAAACTACCAGTTTTGCAAAAATGTGAACAAATGTAAAGATGCTTAAAATTAATTAACAGAATATGATTGTATAAACGCTCTAATATCACAACTGAAACCGACGAGTATATTACCGGACACGTAAAAATGATTATCACAATTTCGCTTTCCAAATTTAACTATAAAATTGGCGGTTTTCGACCGTGGTACACCTCAGCCTGAGAAATTCTCGTAACTCTCGAAAGAGTTGGACTAAAGTGCCCTTTTGATGACGGAAAAGAAATTAGAATTGCGAGATTGTAACAAACAAAAGAATTAATACAGAAATCTGTTGATACCTGATACGGTGGAACAATCTGACCTGAGTCACTCTCGTAACCCCGAAGGGCTGGACCAGATCGCCCGTTTTGCCAATTGATAAACGTCGTGATCGAAAAATGTAACTGAAACGACTTACCGTTTTGCTGTACAATAAAATACAAGATAATCGCTTGCTAAATTCGCTTTGTGTTCGCTCGATGATCTGGAACACCAAAGAAACGGTAAGATGTCGATCGATTGCACTTGTCGCGGCGGAAACGGATTATTACGGACGAGTACGTCGACGAGAGACAAACGAATATCGAATTACGAATTACAATTAATTACGGAAACAATCAATATATAATTTACGCGGAATGAAGTTAATACGAGAATACGCGAGCAAACGATTTAAAATCAGAAAGAAAAGATAGAAATTTAGGTAGAAGGAAGATTTAACGTGCGCGTCTTCGAGTCCTTATTCAGAATTTCGATTATTTTAACTACCACTGCACTCTGCCTCGCTACGCGGAGGACTTTACCGCAGAGAAAATATCGCGAACTTCCGAATAACTCTGTCTCTCGGACACACGGGCTCCCGATCACGTACTTACGATTGATCGATCAAGAGTGACAAATTTCGTGCGCGATCGATGGTCGAAGCAGTGATGCCAGAACCGTGGGACGTGGGACAAATCTTTACCCTCTCCACGACGTCCCACGACGTCCCAGTGACTCCCCTACCACAGTTGTACCATCTAACACAAGCGCGTTGTCCCACGTGTCCGTGTGAGCTCTGCGGGTTTGGCAGAGTTCGGCTGCTCTCGTCATTTCTACGTTATCGGCTCGATGCTCAAGTCGCTAAAGCACGTGGCAGCAGCATTGACGAATCGATAAAATAATATAATTTCGTCCATGGCAATATGGCTGAATTCAGAAACCAGGAGAACCAGTTCGAATCTCGATTTTACGGTTTCAGTTCTGATTCTTAATACATTAACGTTTTTCTAATACATAAAAATACATTTTTAATACATTAATACTATGAAATACATTAACTTGGAACGCAGTTAAAAAAAGAAGTTGAACTGCATCTTTCTTTGATATTTTTTTTAATATTTAAGTTTTATATATATACATATGTATGTACGTACATATGATAAAAGTACGTGATACAGAAGTAATTTCTTCAATTAGATATTCCTGTTATTCTAACTATTGCAATACGTAAATCCGAATACATACGAGGAAAATTGGTTAGGTTAGGGTTAGGGTTAGTTTATAAATAAATCTATAATCTTTTCAGGTTTGTATCTTTCATTTATTTTTTGTTATTTAAAGATTCTACAATTAATATTTAGTATATATATATCTTGTGGTTTTTGACATCCGTTGCAGCTGACCCACGCACGGACGATGTATCACGGTCTTTTTCCGTCTTATGCATAAGAGAAAAAAAATACAATTTAAAACTGGAATGTAATAATACATGTTAAAAATATACGTATTGCTATAAACTGATCTTTTTTTCGTGTTGTTACAATGCATCTTCGTTTCCTCCCTTCTTAATTGAAATTTCGTGTTGCCCGAACTCAAGCAGCTGATCCACGCACGGACGATGTATCACGGTGTTCTTCCGCCGTATGCATAAGAGAAAAAAATATAATTTAAATCTTAATGATACATGTTAAAAATATATATACAGGGTGTCCCGTAAAGCATTTTCACCCCCTCAGGTGGTGGTAGGTGGGGTGATTCTGAACAACTTTCCTTTGCGAAAAAGTGGTTTGAAGCTTCCTTTTTGAATTATTAAGCAAAAACACTGACCAATCCGAGCGCGTATAGCGCGCGGGCTCAGGGACGGCAGCGTCGGCTACGACAGCAGGGCTTGACGTAGGTCGCGAACAAACGGCTCGGCGCCTCGTTAGCATAGCACAATAAAAAAATTGAAATAGTTAAACATTTTTTGTTGTTGTTGAAAAGGAATACGGAATCTAATCTCTTGTCGCCTGTTATTATGTAAAAAAGGAAATTTTAAACATTCTAAATAACAAATAAAAATGTTTGAAATGAAATAATGAATAAAAATTTTAAAACAATTTCAATGAAACTTACCCATTCGTTCGTAAATGTACCTGCTATGCTGAAAGCAGATAATTCCTACCTGGGACTATCCTGGGTTATTATGTCAGTCTTCATCACTCGACGAAGAAACACGTGTGCGGAACAGCTGATTTGATGGTCGTGCTAGTGAACTCGCCTCGTTTATTGCACTTAGGTTTTGCACTTACGTAGCCCTTTTCGGGGTCAATTTTTTCACTAAAACGACCACAAAAAATCACTGTCACTTTTCACGCATTTTAACCTGACTTGAATTATTATTGTACGTAAAGAACTAAATTGAATTGAATTGTCTTTATGTACAGTTGAACTTTTTTTATTGAAGAACGTCGTGGTACAAAAAAGTTTCTTCAACTGTCTTCGCTTTCCCTTTCCCTCGGGCCGCGACTTCGCGCAACACGGAAGCTATTAGCTGCGGCGTCACAAACGTTTAATAAATTGCTGGCCCCTTTCGGGGCCGATTGTTTTAATCGATGAACCAATGTTTCCTCTACGTGTAAACAATGGGTGGTCCCGAAAGGGGCCGATTGTTTTAAAGTATGAAGGGTTCAATGTACCCACCTTCATGCTGTATGCAAATTGCAGCGCGTGAAGCAACCGACCACTGCACCTTCCGCACTGTTTCCACGCTAATGTTTGCGACGGCACCATGAATTAGTGCCATCGCCTGGTCCGCCGTTACGATAGGTTGGCGATATACCTCGCTCTGAAATAATGATTGAATAAAAATAATTATTATTAAAAATACAAAAACATAATTAAACGGATACATATCTGTAAACGTACCTTCAGATACCCCCACAAATAAAAATCCAACGGAGGCCCACCGCGGCCAATCCATCTGTCTTGGAAGGCTTCATGTAGATACTCACGAACATTTACGGCGAAATGTGCAGGTGAACCATCATGTTGGTAGAACATGTCCCTCCGAATTTCGGGAGGAATTCTCTCCATGAGATCCGGAAGGACATGTTCTAAAAACACTCTGTATGCTGGACCGTCCAATCTACTGGGTAGAATGTACGGCCCAATGATAAAATCGCCGCAAATCCCGGCCCATACATTTAATGACCAGCGGTGCTGCGCTGCATGTGGGCGAATCGCGTGCGGATTCTCGTCGCTCCACACGTGTGAATTGTGGGCATTGAAGCACCCCTCTCGTGTAAAGAGGGCTTCATCTGTCCACAAAACAGACGTGCAGAACGACGGGTTCCGTTCGATTTTTCCCAACAACCACCGGGAATACTCCATCCGCTGGATGTAATCTTGCGGGTACAGATGCTGCACCCGCACTTGTTTGTAGGGGTGTAATTTATTCTCCTGCACGATCCGGTGCACGGTTGAACGGTTGACACTAAAATGAAACAAAAATATTAAAACAAGAATTCTATTTTCATATTAAAATTATTATAATTACTTTAAATTATTACTTACTTGGTGCAAAACCTAAGTGCAATAAACGAGGCGAGTTCACTAGCACGACCATCAAATCAACTGTTCCGCACACCTGTTTCTTCGTCGAGTGATGAAGACCGACATAATAACCCAGGATAGACCCAGGTAGGAATTATCTGCTTTCAGCATAGCAGGTACATTTACGAACGAATGGGTAAGTTTCATTGAAATTGTTTTAAAATTTTTATTCATTATTTCATTTCAAACATTTTTATTTGTTATTTAGAATGTTTAAAATTTCCTTTTTTACATAATAACAGGCGACAAGAGATTAGATTCCGTATTCCTTTTCAACAACAACAAAAAATGTTTAACTACTTCAATTTTTTTATTGTGCTATGCTAACGAGGCGCCGAGCCGTTTGTTCGCGACCTGCGTCAAGCCCCGCTGTCGTAGCCGACGCTGCCGTCCCTGAGCCCGCGCGCTATACGCGCTCGGATTGGTAAGTGTTTTTGCTTAATAATTCAAAAAGGAAGCTTCAAACCACTTTTTCGCAAAGGAAAAAGTTGTTCAGAATCACCCCACCAACCACCACCTGAGAGGGTGAAAATGCGTTACGGGACATCCTGTATACTGCTATAAAGTTATCTTTTTTAACCAACTTCGAGAAGGAGGAGGTTACTCAATTCGATCAGTATGTATTTTTTTCTGTGTGCGTTCAGAGATTACTCCGAGATGAATGGACCTATCGGAACGAAACCTTTGGCATCTTGTAGGGTATGTCTTCCGATTGGTCCCATTTCAAAAAAAGTTTTCATTTTTTCATTGTTATTGCAAAATGCAGAAAGTTTTTAATCTTAAGATTGGACGATTTCAATGACCTTTTAATATGTTGTCGGGGGCATGATTCTGACCAACTTTTTCATTATGCATAATTAACGGAAAGCTTTAGTTTCCGAGATATTCGTGAGAAACTATTGTTACTACTACATTGAATTCTACGTATGCCTACGTGTCTCTACCGGTGTATGAGTCAGCATGCAGTCGTCGATTCTCTACTGTTTCTTGTATACATGTACATACAAGTATCAACAACGTGTTCTTGGAAACACTGAATTACAGACTATTTACATCGGTGTATCTCCGTTTTGTTTTATTTTCTTCTTAGATATACAGGATTATATTTCAAAGTTGTAAACATTATGTAAAGTCAGTTTGTAGAATAGATTGTAAAAAAAATTTATATTCTTTAACAAATATATATTGTGACCCTCTTCGGGGGTTCACTCTATACAAGATTCTATTCGCAAACTTTACTCTACAATATTCTCTCACAAACGTTGGGCGCCAGCCACTCGGTGTGGCGATCAAAATCGAAAGGGAAAAGGGGTTCGTGGGTGTCTTACAGGGGATGGGTCTCGGGGCACTTACGTCCGTACAATACTTCGCGGGGGAGTACGCAAGGAGGATTATTGTGGGAAGGGAAATCTCTAGGGTCGGAAGAGGGGTTCGCGGGAAAGTTCGCCTACGTTACGCGAATGAGGAAATGACTGTGGTCGGAAAATCAAAGGGGGGGAAGAGCGAAAAGGGGGAGCCGTCTCTACTTCGAACAATGCGCGGGCGGAGAAAATAGCCGTTGCCTCGATCTCGCTTTTTACAATATTAATACGGTAAGGGACTCACCCAAAACTTCTTGCACTCTCTCTCAACACTCGATAAATCGCCTATCTCAAACTCTCTTACTCTCTTAATCGCAACGATAGCCTCGGGCTCAATGACGGTTCGCCGTCGCTGCTGCGACGACGAAACCGTCGCGGGATGGTTTGGGGAGGGGATGGGACTAGGAAGGGGGCCTCTTCCGGCAATGGGATAGATCGATTATCGATCTTCGATACACCGGTGCTCGGGGTCGATGGGGCTGGCGGATATCCCGCGATGACGCACAGTGGGGCAGAATCCCTAAAACGTGGTCAAAATATGAAGATTCTATACGATTTGTACAAGGTTCTATATATTAGGGTAATTTGGACCGCAGATTACGAATTTGAAGTCGGAATTGCAAAAATGATTTGTTTAAACATTTTTTTTTAAACAAATTGTTTCAAAATTGCATTCTTTGCAATTTGTGACTACAGAATCGTATACTGCACGGAAAAGTAAGTTAGTAACAGGCAGCAACATTTTAAAAGTTTATTACAGAAGGATAAATGATTAATAATTACTTATTTTCCGAGTGAGGAATAGTTGGCTTCAAATTTACAGGAATTAGGGTTACTTATTGCTCAAAATGTTTATATATTATGAAGTTTGTGGCATTATTGATAACAAATAGTTTTATTTAAACAAATTATTACAAAATTGTACATTTTAAATCAATTATAACTTAATTATTTAATATTCATCATCGTCAGTTGAATTATCAGAGTTTTCGTCAGTAGACGATTGTGGAATATTAATATTTTCTATTGTATCGGAGGTTACATTCCTAACTTTAGGCGGAATTAACAATTCTATTGCTTCGGAAGATAATGATCTTAGTTTTTTTTTTGGCAGTTGTCGTTGGCTGGAAACGAATGGGTCTGAAGAGACCAACATTCGTAGAAGGACGTCTTCCATATTTTTCGTTCGCGAGCATTTGCGTGAAAAGTCTTCTCGGAATCGTTTAAAATATTTGTGGCAAGACTCCTGTGCATCTTCGGACATTTGTCCAATGGGTAAAATTGAGGAATCTATAATTTCTGTTCCATGCATTAATAATTTATGCACTGAAGTGGGCATATAGTACCATGGGTACAAGTGAACAAATTTACGGGCTGTGTTTAATGTGTATTGTTGAAATTTTGGAAGATTAATTTCATATCCGCATGAAATCGTCTGTAATATTGTATGAAATCGTTTTATTAAGTCTTCGTCTACTCCTGTTATTGATGCAGAAACAGACGAATTTTCGAAAAAGCGGCGAGCAGTATTTCCATCATTCGTACTGCCATACCCAGGCTTCGGTTTATCGACGATCAGTCCCAATTTCACACGAAAACCTTCCTGAATGTTCCTTTTTCTCCTCTCCACTTGTAATTTGTCTTCCTCATTTCGAGATTGCCATTTTTGCAAGTCTAGTTTGTACGACAAATGCAGGCAACATTCAAAGAACCGTATCCATGCATGAAGTGTGGATAACCCAAATTGCAAATTGGTTACATTAACTGTCTTTTGCAAGACTGCATCAATATCGTTGAAGTCTTTTGACGTTGCTCCACATAAATAGCAACGTTGCGTTGATAACGTGCCAGTAATGGCATTGCATACTTTACCATCGATCATGGTTAATGCAAGTTGATATACAACTGAAATGCATTTCCCATCAAAAATTGTTTTAAAAGTGGTTAGTTCACTTTCTTGCCGTTTAATATCGTCTGTTTCTTTTACAGTACCTTCTGTTGTTTCGTGTAAAAATTTGATTTTAATTGGCCTGCAGAACCTAGGAGACGAAGGTCTCGGATTCTTCCAAATTACAATTTTATTATTTTCTTCATTCGTAGATAAAAGTTGGAGTGGTACAAGTGAAGTGAAAAAAACATTTGCATCTGATTGGCTTCCACTATCATCACTAAATTTCCGTTTGTATGTACTCTGACCTGAACTGCCATCACACCCCCACTTGCAAATCAAAATCATATTTTGCACCTGTTCAGGACTCAAGCTTTTGATTACATCGATTTGTGTTAATAAAATACGTTCAGCTGTATGATCTAATAAGGCCTGCAATTTTATTTCGCCGCAATTTTCGGTTATTGTCATTTCTGACTTAGGTGGGTAACAATTATGTTTTGCTTCTTGTACTTTTTTGTATGATGGAAATACCTTGCAATTATTTTGTAGACATGCACTTCGTTGTAGTTGGTATTGACTTCTTGAAAATTTCAATTCAATCAACAATGATAAAGCAGAATCACCTGTAAAAGTATTTTCGGAAATCGATTGTACACATTTCCTGTATTTCTGAGCTTTTGACGGGCTCACTGTCATATCCTGTAGAACCTTAGCAGCGTCCAATTGTCCTGCAGCTCGAAGATTCATTTGTGTCGCATAACACAGTTCTTCTACGTTTGTTTTTGAACGAATACCTTCAGTTCTTCTTCGCTTTGTTCTCTCACTGGAAGTTGAAAAATCTGAAGATGGACGACTTGAATCTTTTTTTGTGGATGTTTCCGCAATTTCCTCTTCCTTCGTGAAAACAACGAATACGTCCAACCATTCCCTATTTTTATTAAAAAATCTCTCTTCCATTCTATGAACTTGTTGCCATTTCACTTTTAAATCGTGCAATAATTTGCGTATGTCCTGTTTCATGGCTTGCGGTAACGTGTAGTTACATTGAAACTTTTCCGACATAACGGATTCAATTTTTTCGTATGAAACCGTTATATTGTCGTTGAAATGGTCCTTTAACAGCAAAAAGATTTCTTTCCTTGTCAAGCCAATTCTTCCAGCTTGAGCAGCAGAAGCTGAAACATATAGATTAATTAATTACCCATTGACAACACATGTTTACATACAGAGTGGTCCATTTAACGATCTGCACGGAACAGATTTTGTAAATCGTATATACATTTTTCAGTAGAGTTCGCACCAATTTAGAAATAAAACCATAAATTTTACGCAAAATTTTAATTTTTGAAGCTTAAGGACACTTCAAGGTCATGTTGTTATACCTATCTCAGCGAATTTTTCGATCAGCTACACGAGGAAATGGAAAAAAAATTATGAGCAAAAAATGGACCACCCTGTATATTACAAAGGAAGGCTCGCAGCAAAAAAATGACGAGAATAAAATTTTCATTATATTTTTTATAGAATCGAGTGGCATAGTCAGATTTTGCACAAACTGATAATCAAAAGAAATTGTTTAAACAATTTTGTATAAACAAGTTAAAAAACAAAAAGGAGAGACATGTAGATCTTATTTTTATCTTATGCCATGAATCTAGTAATTGGTTTTCCGCCATCTCTACTGTACTAGCCATGAGCCTCAATAGATTAACGTGTACGTTTAATCGATAATAGTTTACAGCTTTATAAAAACCAAAGGTGCAGCTAGGTGCAGCTGTTCTTGATTTACTTCATTAGTCAATAGTATAAACTATAATGTGTAATAAGCACGCTGCAGAATTCTGTAGAATTATATTACTTTTACACCTTTTTCTAGAATCTTTTGTATACAGATGTGCATTTTTCTTTACTATAATTATTTGCCATTAACTTTTCTCGTTATCTACATACAAACTTCGTGAAACATATTGAAATTATACTTACATTCCGCAGAAGATTCCATTTTACAGAATTAAAATATCTGTTCTTTAAAAACTTTGGCGTCCCTTTGAATTTGTCTATCGATTTTCGCTTCTGCACACTATAACTGCTGCTTGTACGAAGGCCACTTTGCGACTGGAATACCAGCGCAGGTATAAGGGGACGGACCTTTCTAACTGTACATTTTAGGCCCTTCAATATCAGTCTAGCCAACCTAGTATTTCATATACCTTAAACACAAACTTTATTTTTTGACTTTTGACCACGATTTAGGGATTCTGCCCCACTGTGTGACGGGTGGGCTGAGGTCTTCGGGCTCGGCGACAGATGGCTCCGGGTGGACGTTTGCATGGTCTGGGTAGCTTTGTCTCTTTCTTCGGAGTCCCACGTTGCTCCGTTTCCTTGGAGGACGGTTTAGGGGTCTGTCGCCGGCCTCGTAGCTCCTGCTGCGGGTGTTCCTTTTCCGTCTTCTTTTGCCTCCATCGGCCCGACACCGGTGAACAGGGGGAAAGGGTTAGGCGAGGGAAGGGTTACGGGTGGTTTTGAGGTGGAGGTGTAACGTGGGGGAAAGCGTAGCGATTGTAACGGGGGGGCACGGGTGTCACCACGTTACAATATGTACGTCATACTGTAAAATATCCACATATAACACGGTGATGTGCATGTACAGGTTATTGACATGTATAAACTTGGACTCATCAATTATATCTTTGTTACTTGTTAGAGAAGACAGAATTTTATTTGTTTGATATTAAATTTCCTCTAACATCTAGTTCTGTCTGATATTGTATATTGTAAATTGAGGACTACCTTTTGTTTATTTATTATATCAATTTGACAAATTGATTCATGCACATACTGTTACAAAGATATAAATGATGATTAAATAGTATGATGTGTATAATATAAAGAATGTACATATAGTTTTGTATATATTATATATTTCAACATTCGTCATGTTCAAAACACTGTTTATAGAACATTCATATATATTTAACAGTAAAAAGCTTTATATTGATAATGTAGAGATGAAAGTTCTTTTGATACTATTAAAAGTTGTATTTTTATTCGATTACATTCTAATCATAAGCGAAACGTTCCCTAATTTTATTAAAGTACAATGCGAAATAGAGTACAGTGTTCAAAATAATGAATTATAATTCAAACGATATTAAAAATATGTTTTATAAAAAATGACTGAACAAAATTTTTCATGATGTATTACATAGATTAAACAAAAAATTAGTTCACTTTGTTACCCATGTTTCTTTGCTATTCAACTTTTACTTTGTATGATTAGAAATTAAATTTAATTCTTCCTGTTATGAAAAATTTCATTCATTCAAATACTATTTGTTAAAAAACATTTTAATTCATTACACCAAATAAAAGTTTGTTATCTGTGATAAAAAGGGAAGAAGTATTTGGAAGCTGTCTATAATTGAAACATTTTGTGGAATTAAATTTAAAGAAGTGTTATTAATAAAAGGAAACTTAATTCTTATTTTTCCGTGTACAGGAAACAAATGACTCGTAGTACCGAGCCGATAACGTGTTAATTAAAAAAAAAAAGAACAATTTTTTTTATTAACTAATTTCAACGGGCAATATGCGCAATAAATAATATTAAATATAGGTATTGTATTCTAAAAGCGATTAATCATGGCTTAAAATTGAACATGTGCGAAACAATGATTTAAACAAATCCAAGTAAAATAAATTTTCAATTTTGCTGTTTAAAAAACAAATTAATATGTATGAACCTTCGAGATAATCGAAATGATCATCTAGTATTTTTCATCAAATTTTTCGATGATATTTCATAAAAATTTCAAGTGTTTTCAATTATTAGAAACACTATAAATTTATTCGTAAGTTCGAATGTAAAATTTTCAAATTTTTTGCGTCCAGACCTGAAGTCAGGAGTGGATCTAGAGGGACAAAATATATAAAACAATGAATCTCTTTTCAGTCTATCAGAAATTTATTTATTATTTGTTTACTGATATTTGTATTATCAATAGTAACCGATATAATCACGTTTACATAAATTATAAAGAAACAAAACAATTTCAATTTCATAACTTTTGGTAGGGGGATCGCCCCATTCTGGATTCGTTACTGCCTCGCACAAATTCAAATGTACACATATAACAAGATATCTGCGTAACGAATAATTGTCAACTGAATAATGTATGAATAATTGCGTGTATATGTAAAACGTCAAGGAGTAATCGTTGTAAAACGATTTTTCAGCGAACAGTATTAGCCTCGTTATCGTTGCTTACTTACGAATACCGGAGTACACAAGTAGAACTTTCTAGACAAAAGCAACGGGCACAAAGAAGAGAATCTCTGGAATAGGTAGATACATTATTTTTATAGACTGTAAATTGTCGAGCTCTCTGTTCAACATTTTTTGATGAACAGTGCGAGTTTATCTCTGAATCTCATTGTAAATTATTTATCTTCACCGCAATAGTGAGTACTATACGATCAGAGCATTATTTAGTATAACACTTTGTTAAGGAGGGTACAAATGACAGATTACCTTGCGAAACATCGTGGGAAAAAAAAACTGAAGGATACTTTTGTAAAAAAAAATTCAGGAGAAGGAAATTCAATTTTTTTTTTTAATGTACTGATGAAAAAGGAAAACAATTTAACAGAACATTAGTAATCAAATTTGGGGTTACATGGATTAATAGAACACAATACAGGATGTTCTATCAAATTAAATTTTTATAAAATTGTTCATATGAAATGTTAACAAATTTTAGTTTATCATTCTATAAAATACAATGATATTAGAAATTTTCTCTTCAGAATTTCGTTTTCAAAATTGCAAAAAAAAATAGAAGTTATATTTTTAACAGACAGCAACAAGAAATACGCAACAGAGACTGGGTAACGTGCACGTTGTTCTTTACACTGAATATTTGCTGAGAAGTGAACAATAATTTTGTACAATTTCAAAACATATTTCGAAAATGAATTTGTCATTTTCCGACACGATTGAAAATTGTTGCTCAAAATTGACGGAAATTGTAAAAGAAAAATCGTTTTTTATAAGTAATCAGTATCTAATCTTTTTTATTGCGAAGTTGTAGAATTATTTCTCGTGTTTAAATCTGCGATTAGAGAACAAGCGGTTTTGTTTATCATTATAGTAATACAAAGAAAAATGAAAAAATAAATGATTGAAAACATAAACTACATGCTCTTTTCTTGTGTGAAGATGAAAAAGAAACTATATTCAATAATATTAATAAAAATTATCTATAAATCCAATATTTATTGATTAAGGAACTTGATCGATTAAATTACTTCAATTAATTCTGTATCTCGTCGGTGGTACCGCATCCCCCAAGAATGACCACCCTAAGGTAACAAGGACCTGTCCAGTCTTCTACTACCTGTAGTCACTGTGGACAGCGCACACGGACACGTAGGACTGTTACGTCGCGAGCGAGAGATATGGCGCGCGACGTACAAAATAAAAAAACGAGATTTTACTTATTATGTTGGCTGATACGCGGTTGAGAACGGTATTAGCGCTGCCACCAGTCCTAATCGCTCGAGACGATGTTAGATCCTTCGTGATTAGAACCTATAAAAGAGTTGTTAGATTAATTAATAGTTAATCAAGATGTTAATCGGGTTCGTCAATGCTCTAGTCCCATACGGGCCCCCCGTGTGAATTTGTACGAGGATGGTAGGCGTGAAAATAAGGAAGAAGGGAAGTATTTGAAAAGTAAATGAATTAAACTAATTAGGTGTAACAGAAATATAATCTCAAAAAGGTAAATGTAACAATAAAAATGGTTGGTTAACAGAAAATGCAAGCTGTTTGAAATATAACAGAAAATAAATGCATTATTAAGAAAAGTTTAGATTTTATGAAAAACGAAACTATTGATTATAGAATAGTTAGAGGTTGATTAAATGGTTCGATGATTTGAGCGACGATGTCGAACAAAGAATTAAACGCGAACAAAAAGGAAGAACGGTCCCACAGGGTTAACTACCAGAGCCACGGTTTCGTGGGGCCGCCTTCTTTTGTGTGAAATCGGAATTTTCCAAATATTTTAAATATTCGATACCTTATGTCTCTATTGTAAACGGAACGATCTAGAGGGAAACTTTCCAGAATACGCGGTTTCGTAGATCGCCCGTTTTGTCTCGCCACGTCCAGATTCGTCGTATTTGATAATATGAAATGGACAACTTACCAGGAATCAAGGTGAGATAATAATATCTGATAATAGATTGTTAGTAGCTTTTCTCTGGTGTCGTTGGAAAATCTGGAAATCAAAGAAGAGATGAGGAAACTGCCACTGCACTACGCGTTCGGCCTTTATTACGGCATTACGGAACGATTAATTACGAAACGAGCACAAAAGTATTGTGAAGACGACGCGACGCGAAAGGAAAAAAAAAACCAAAAAGAAAAGTAATTAATTCAGCGGACGGTTTAAAAAGAAAGAGAAAAGGATAGTGATTGAAAAGTGTGAAATTTAACGTATTCGCAAGAGTCTTTAACGCGGAAAACGCGAACCACAATCTCCCGGCACTCTGCCTTTTTCAAGGACTTTACCGGTCAGCTAATTTCTACGATTTTCACACGAAACTATTGCTCGACGCGAACACGGGCTCCCCGCCACGTACCTCACGATTTTTCGACGAAGAGTGATTTGCCTCAGTCAAGCGATCGTGTCTCAGGGTTCGACCCGCGATCAAGGGCCCAAAGTGGGGACATCATTTGGCAAATCGGGGTACGTGACGGAGGGGAAATCCCGCGCGTATTGGGCTAGTTGGCCGCTCTTCCTAGTTCTCTCATCCCTTCTTGACTTCTACTTCTACCTTCGTCTAAGGTTGTCCATTTCTTTCTACCCCTCTAACGCTACGACGGATTTCATGCGTCGCAATTCTAAAGTTCTGAAATATTCGAAATCTATTACGACTTAATTCATTCGAGTTTGCTTAATCAAAGAGGCTTCTACAATGATATTTCCGGTATCGAAGGAGGTCTTCGTTTTATTAGAAATATTTGGTTTACTGGTTTGAATGACCATTAGTTAAATAACGTTAATTATTATTCCTATGTTACGTTGCGCGTCGCGTGAGCGCGCAACGTAAAAGAAATATATACACGAAAATATATTTAATTCTTATTTTTGGGCGATGAGAAAGGTATCGCTGCCACCAGTTCTGACCGCGTATGACGCGGAAGCGTCCTCTACGGTCAGAACGAAATTAAAAGATGGAAAATTTAGATAATATTTATTTCCGTTGGGTTCGTCAGCGCTCTGGGTCCCATACGGGTCCCTCCTTGAAACCTTGTGTTGGTATGCGTGGATTTAAAATGTATATGATAAAGGAGATGATACAAAATGGAACTTGAAAAAAAAAAAATGTGAATGCAATTTAGTGTGCAAAAAGAAAATAATTTAATTCGAAAATAACTATCGAAGCTAACAGAACTGAATTTTGAAATGACTAATTGTTTGAATACTAAAATGATTCTATTAGATTTCTGTTAATCACTGTTAAGTAAATTCAATTGATAACAATACTGTTTGAACAAGGGTAAAGATGCTTAACCTATTGTACGTTAATAATATAAATGAAAATCGGAATAATGTCTAACCTTTGGTTTACAATGAGAGCTTCTATTGTAATTATTACACGTATTTGAGATGTGAGAAATATATGGTTAACGTAGGACGACTGCCTCGACCTGATATAATGAAAAATCAAATTTTAGGCGGTTTCTATCCGCAAGGAAACGACCTGAATGAAGAGACTCTTATAACCCCCGAAAGGGCCTTACAGGTCGTCCCTGATAAAATATCTCGCAGTCGAAACAATTGTCACCCACACACGTTCGCGATGATTGAAAAATACGGAATATTAAAATAGCGAAAAATAATATAATCGGTACCTGACTGTAGAAACGAGACGATCTAAAATGAAGAGACTCTTATAACCCGTAGGCTTAATAGATCGCCCGTTTTGCCGTGTCTAAATTGAATGCTAATGCCGTGCTCGACAAATTAGTACAGAACAGGCTTACCGTGAAATTGTAGAATGCAATACAAGATGAAAAATCGCTCTGAGATCGCTATGTTATCGCTGAATAATCGCTGGTTAATCTGGAACACCAAGAAAGGTTGAGAGATCTGTGGCGGCACTTCACTTGTCGCGCGCCCGTTTGTCGTTTGTTGCAAATTAATTAGACGAACACAAGACGATTACGCTCTTCGGAATAATATAATAATAAACGCGAGTGAATTTAATACGGAAAATACGCGATCTACGATTTAAAAGAAAGAGAAAAGATAGAATTTTAATAGTATGAAATGAGTTTAACGTGCGCGTCTCTGAGTCTTTGCCGCGTATCCGGAATTTCACCCTCGCGACACTCTACCTAATACGTAGGACTTGCCACGCAGCTAAATTACACGAAGTACAATCGACAACTCTATCTCTTGACGCACGGGCTCCCGTCACGACTTACTCGATTGTTCGACGAAGAGTGATCAAAATCGATCGCGATCCTAGCTGGAAGGGCCCGTCGCGAGGACGATGTCCTGCGTGGGGACATTTCGGCAAATCATAGCGCGTGACGACAGCGTCGCGTGCGTCGCTATTGGTTAAGCGCGCGTGTCAGCTAAATTCCTCTAGATCATGTTTTCTCTCTTTCTTGGTGTTCCCTCTCTGTCTAACGGCCTTTCGGTGTTTCTACGCCGTAGAATTTCTGGATTGTTCCATGTTTTGATAATTTGGATATTAGGTAGTAATTGAAGCGATTATCGACTAGTAAATTGAATCAAAATTATTGAACAATGAATTTGCAAGTAATTGAATCATTCGTAGTACCATTGCGCACGGATAATGAAACCGATGATCGCGTGGTTTCTTAATTAACAATCGGCTTGTTCACAATCATTTGTTCGCAGAGAACTCGATCAACAATATGGATTGCGCCGGTACGCTCGATATAAGGCATTCGGTGTTCGATTGCTATTTTCCAATAACGACAGGTTTCCATTATTAATCGAATATTCGTTATTTCAGTTGCGACGTAGTTGCTTCGAGAACGTTCTCGCCATTCGAAAATTACCGTTAGGTTTTCGGTTTCAGGCAAATTCTCGGAATTCGATACAAAGACCTTTGTTGCCTCGCACGACCCCTTGCCTCTAAACAGTCCTCGAACGCATGCTAACGTTTGCCTGCAAGGGTTCTCATTCCTCGCTCTCGCATTCATACAAATATTCAACGAGCTACATTGCTTTGCGTTCTCATTCCAGCAATCAATTCATACACGCGATCGGGTTAGGGACCGACTGGCGCCCACGCGTGAAAAAGAGGAGAGTATCGATGTTAATCTCGGTAATAACGTAATCTTTGCGTTTTTGCGCAGTTAGCCCGAGGAGACCCCTATAATGCGAAGCACTGGCTAACCGCGCCGCGAACGGTGTTTATGATACTTCTCCTCGGTCGAAGCCGAGTTTTTCTATCACACGTTTCTGTTACTACGCAGTTGAGCACGACGATAGTTTCAAGGAGGGGTTTCGACTAAGAAGAGAATTGAGAAGTATGAGAAGAATGAAAGAATAGGAAAGACAAAAGTAGAATAATTATAAGCTCAAACTTTTCCCTGCGCATTTCCCACATGAAGAAGTCTCTTACAACCCGAAGGCTTGATGGGAAAGCACAGAGTCAAGGAGAAATTAAAGAAAGGTGCAGTAGTAATTTGCCCTCCCCACGCCCCTTACATGAGGAGACTCCTATAACCCGAAGGCTTGATAAGGGAACGTGAGGCGGACAAATTTGCAAAATTTTCGGACGTAACACCTACGTTAATTACTATTCCGACTATTCGGAATTACAATAAAATGAGGAAGGACATGAGGTGGAATTGGCGTCACCGGTAAATAAATACAACAGCTGATATATAGTTAGAATGCAAATAAATTTAATATCTCAAAACCTACTGACTCTACTCTACGGGTACCGGCTGTAAAAAACCCCAGTACGGAAAAAGCCTGGTCCCAGCAAACAGATTAAACTAAAAGAATATACATATACGTAAAATGATAACAAACAAAATATACAAAGTAACAAAACCGTGAATTAAACTAGATCTTAAAAACTACCATGCACTTGCATAACCATACACACTGTCATAAATTCGTACAATCGAGAGCTCTCTTACCAATCGTGCCGGATGGTGTCTCGTCGACGTCGCAACAAATCGTCGTGGTCCTTACCAAAAAAAAACACAACCCTGCTCACAGGAGACGTCCCGGCAAAGAGGACAAAGTGGCCGTAAAAACGCACCACTAACTGCACGGCTAGCCAGGTGGGCAGAATCAACCGATCGCCGAACTGTGCGCACAGTTAGCCGTTTGAACCACCCACAAGATCGCCCGGCCGTGCAGACAAGTGACAGCACCTAGTGCTTCAACAATAGGACACACGCACGACAGCCACAGCGCCCGTCAACGAACACCACCAGTCTCAGATCCAAACCACAATTCGCTCCTTTACAAATTTGGAAAACTTGGAAAAAACTTTGGGAAGCACCCGCACAAATTGACCGATCACGGTTCAATGCGCGGGCCCGGTCCCGGGCCATACCCCGCCACCACCACCGACACGCCGCTCGCGCCTGCGCAGTGTCGCGTGACAATCGTCCAACCGCACACCCTCGCGCAGCGCCAAATTTGAAACAAACCGCTCGAGCAAGTATGCAATCGCGCGACGCGAACAATTACTTTGTTAATCTCGTTGTTTAGCGGTTTACGCGCGATGCAACCGGTGTTTTATAATTGTCGACAAATTGCGGATACATGCGTATCGCATTTAGTTAACATTCATTCCGCTCTTATTAGTTATTAACATTCTTATTCGTATCTCGACGTTTTACGTATATTCGAACGTTCTACGTTTAACGTTTAACGGCGATGTTTATGGTCTCGGTCGACCTTTGTCTCGAACATTCGTGAACGATTTCGAACTACAGTGGTTGTCACGCAAACCCTCGCATTCTAATATCATTCAAACAGTTTCATTCCGTTAAATTCCAATTGCTTTGTTCTTAATCACACGCACTCCTCGTGGAAGGGTCGGCTGACGCATGCTTTGCAGGTATGAGAGGTACCTCGCTAATAAAATAGAAGAAAATTCTTTTTATGTTGTACGGTTAAGTTGGGAAATTTCCAAGTGCGTCGCACTGCTTAACCGCGCGGCAAAGGATGTTTATGGTATCTCTCCCTAAACGGTTTCGACTTTCGAAGTTTTTGTCGTTGCGTAGTTTCGACAAGGCAATCATCCCAAGGAAAGGTTGACTTGTATTATTTGAAAGAACTAAATATAGCCTCCTTTGTGTGCCTCGCCTGGGATTATCTCCAAGTGCTTCGCACTGGCGAGGTACACAAGCTCGGTATATTGACGGTTAAACTATTGAAACTAACAAGAGAAAAGAAAAAGGAGAATTATAATTTTAATCTCAAACTCCTTTCTTGTGTTCTCCGTGAGGAATCACTTCCAAGTGCTCACGCACCCGACGGTAGAGCATAAGATCGGAGGAGCGCGGGCAGGTAACGAGGAAAAGAAATAAATTAGCAAGGCCCTTCCTTGCGCCCCTCACGTGGAAAGTTCCAGATGCAGCGCACCCGATGAGGAACGCAAGGTCGGGTTAATTGAAAATGTACCCGGACGTAACAGTACAAGCGGCATAAAAAAAAGGTGGAATGCGAGACAGTTTATAATTCTTGTATGTTGTACGTAATATTCAACTGTGTACCTTTCTGCTTTTTTTGTCGCGATCGGGCGTTGCCGACATTCTAACAGCCAACGCTATGAAATTGGAATTTTAAAAATTTGATGGTGCTACATTTTTAATCAGACAAGAAGACAATTGTTTAATAATTTACGTAATTTCTGATAAAATATTGTTCGAATTTGTTTGAAACCCATCATGTTAATGATGATATCTACGAAATGTAAATACAGTCAACCCTCCTATAACGCGGTGAGTGCGTACCGCGTTATATGGAAACCGCGCTATAAGAAACTCGGATTTAACCGTACAAACCAGGCTAATTCGTAGCGCGTTCTATGGAAACCGTCTACCGCGTTGTATGGAAACCGCGCTATAAGAAACGCAGAATTAGTACAAATCACATTATTCGTACCGCGTTATATGGAGACCAATAAGGACAAGATAAATTATAAATTATTTTTATTGAATTGAAGAGTTTATATAAAGAAATGATACCAAAACTAAACTGAAAAACTGTTTTCCAACAAAAACAAGAAAGACTTTTGTAAAATTTAATCTTTCAACACTCATCCTCGCTGTCAGATAATATGAGTCGCCTAACTCGTCTTCTTTTAATAGGCAAAATGTCTTCCTCACTTGGCGCATCTTCATATTGGTTTTCGATTGTAGCTTTTTTTTCTAACTCCACTAAAACCTCTCTATAGGGAGCTAAGCAATTTCTTAACTCTCTTTTAAACTTTGCGCTACGCACCGTTGAATGATCAGTTTGAATGAAATGGAGTTCTAATTCTTTAGCCAAATTTAGCCCTTTTTTCACATCTTGTAAATCGACATTTGGCACCCATTCGTTTTCTTTATTTTCGTTTACCAATGGATTTGAGGTGGGTGCATCAATTAAATCCATCAGTTCATCCTCATCTAAAGCTTCTTCCCCGAGTACGAGTTCTCTTACATCCTGATGGTTTGTTGTAAATTCTTCATCGCCTAAACGAGAAGCAATGTTTACTATTTCTGTAACTGGGAGTGAAATTGTAGAATCATCTTGTATTGTTTGAACCATTTCAGGTAAAAGGGGTTTCCAACACGCATTAAGCGTTGATGGTTTAATTTCCGCGCAAGCCGATGACACGGTTCTAATACAATCTAAAATAGAAAATTCCATCCAAACTTGAGTAAGGGTTTTATTTTCACTACTTTCTAATCTGTCGAAAATGGTTTGGAAAACTTGGCGTGTGTAATACATTTTTAAAGTTTGAATGACTCCTTGGTCCAAAGGTTGTATTAATGACGTGCAGTTAGGAGGAAGGAAGACAATTTTTATATTTGGATGATCCAGTTGAATGTTGTGGCAACCAGCGTTATCAAGAACCAATAAAACTTTGAAATACAAATTTTTTTCCATCGTATGGGTTTCCACTGCCGGGATAAAACAATTATAAAACCAATCCTTAAATAAATCTTGGGTCATCCAAGCTTTCTTATTAGATCGCCAGAATACAGGCAATTCGGTCTTATTAATGTTTTTCATAACACGGGGAGTTGAAGAACGATTTATTATCATAGGTTTTATCATCAGGCTCCCTGATAGATTGCTGCACATATGAAGGGTAACACGTTCTTTTGAAGGTTTAAACCCCTGAGCACGCCTTTGATTTTTCAAAATGAAGGTCCTAGATGGTAGTTTTTTCCAATATAATGCCGTCTCATCGGCGTTAAAAATCTGATGAGGTGAATAGCCTCCTTCATTGATAATTCTAGCTAATTCCAGCTTATAATTCTCGGCAGCCTCAGCATCTGCTGAGGCCTGTTCTCCTTGAAACTTAATATTGTGTAATGAGTACCTTTTTTTTAGTTTTTCAAACCACCCTTTACTCGCGACAAACGAATGATTTTCTAGCTCTGCAGAAGAATGCCCAATATTCCTTAAATGTTCATAGATTTTAAGTGCTTTCTGCTTGATAAGATTTCCACTGATAGGAATCTTTTTGGCTATACAGTCTTCCAACCAGATCATTAACGCCCGTTCCATTTTAACCATATTAAAATTTCGTGTGCGAGTGACACGTTTCGCACCTAACGGACAGCCATCTGCCACAGTTTTCCTTATATTGTCTGCATTTTTCTTTAGGGTTCGAGTTGTAGATTCATTCAACTTGGTTGATTTTGCAACCGACGATAGATTTTCCCCACCTTCTAAACGATTTAGAATTTCGATTTTATCTTCAAGAGATATAAACTTTCTTTTTAACCCTTTCCTTGTTTCTTTCGTGTTTGACATGATGCAAATCTAGGGTTAATAATTACTTTATTATTATATTAGAACAAATGAAGAATATTACTTACAGTATTGTGTAATATTGTCCAATTATAAACCACAAATTAAGCAGCAAAAAGCTGAACGAACGGACGGTGCAGAAAAATTTTTAGAAAGACTTGGTCACCAACAAAACGTGTACACTGTGAAAGAGCTCTGAGAAGACTAAAACCGATGTCGTAGACGGCTATCAGATAAGCCGGAGATAATCTTTATATAAACATATCTAGTTACTATGTCGCGATCCGACTGCCTGGACCTACATGAAACTGGCGCCATCTGTTCCCTTATAATTCAAATAGGCCCTAACGAACTAAACATAGGCTAAACATTCTTAGGCTACGCGGAAGGAACTTATGTGATGCTGTTGACGGAAACCGCGCTATAAGAGTATCGTGTTATAGGAGGGCTGTCGCATTTTCAGCTTCGCGTTATATGGAAACTGCGTTCTGAGAGTACCGCGTTATAGGAGGGCTGCCGCATTTTCAGCTCCGCGTTATATGGAAACCGTGTTCTGAGAGTACCGCGTTATAGGAGGGTTGACTGTACATATTTCCTACTTTTTAACTTTTACTGGAATCGGATAAAATTGTTGAATGAACATTTCACGAAGTTTGTCATAATAGTTAATATCACATTTTTTCAGATCTTCAAGAAGTTCTGACTTTGTGACATTCTCATCGGAACACTATAGTATTTATAATGTAAATTAAAATGATTGGTACGTTACTCATAGTTGCGCAATTTCCGTTGCGGAAGTTCGTTGCACTAGCGGTTGCTTTTCCGATGGAGCGGAGGACACGTTGTTTGCTTGTCGCAAAAGCGAGTTGGATCCTTTCCTCTTCGATATGTTGTTTCCTTTAAATCACAATATTGAAATTAGAAAATGTTTCTTTCGACTTCCTTCTTGACCTTGTAATATAAACTGAGTTATGTTCCATAAATATCCACAGTGAACCGTTTTATTCAAAATTATAGCTAATAATATTACTTTTACGATTCGGTGTGTTATAAATTAGAATACTTTTGGCGAAACGTGAATATTCGATACATTTCTTTGCTGTCACGTCAGTTTATATTACAGTATAAATAAAAAACAACATAGTCATACATTTTACATAATAATAATGCCGAGATAATAATGGAATAATAAAATGTGGTTTACTTATCTTCTTTGCTGTCGATGAATGTTGAATCTTCCCTTATAATCTGCGTGTCGACGTTTCACAGTGGGGTATTTGAACCGAAAACGCGGAAAAAACGGTTTGAACGTTATTTATAGGTTCAAGGTCATATTATAATAGGTCGTTGAATTTGTCTTAATGTCAGCTACAACATCGTGAAATAAAAAATGGGCTATAATATTTAAAAAATCAAGGTAGCCTTTTCTGTATAAAATTGTTTTTTCGAAACTTCATATATTAAAATTTGTAGAAGTCTAAATACTGTTAAACTTTTGTTCGAAACATTTTTTTTTAATTATCGAAAACCCTTGTAATATTGTGGTTATGGTAGAGTAGTTGTACCAGAAAGCTAAAAGAAGTTATTTTTACACATACACTATGTTGAACTGATATAAATTATTATTTTCATACAAAATATTTAGGTCGCGAAACTTTTTAATAAGTATATATGTATATATAGAACATTTTTTAATTATTACCGTTAGTTTTCATCAGAGTATATGTCTGAAGTTTCTTCCTGAGATGATGTTGTTTCTTCACTAGATTCTACTGATGTATGTTCCTTAGGAGGTTGAGCAGGAAGTAGCACTTCCATCCATTCTTTTTAAAATGGCAGCTTTTTCTTCTTTTTTTGGAATCTTGTACTTGACAGGAAGGGGTCAGAATTTAGTAAAAGTCTATTGACAACATCTCTATTACAAGCTTCTCGAGAACACTTTCTTGAGTAACCTTGCCTGTACACACGAAAATGCTTATTCCTTGCTTCTGCTGCCTCTTCTGAGAGTTGTCCAGTAGGTAAAATAGCGTTATCAATGACTAAAGGTCCATGCATTAATATTTTATGTACGGTGGGACTCATAAAACACAAAATGGGGTACCACGGATATAATTTAACGTACATCTCGGCAGTATCTGCGGCATATACAGCAAACTTCTCAGTGTCTACTTTACATCCACTGGATATTATTTCCAATATTACTTTGAATCGGTAAATTAGTTGTGCATCAATTCCTGTGATAGTTGCTGATAATTTATGGTCCAAGAAAAATCTTCGGCTGGTATTTCCGTCATTTGAATTTTCAAATCCAGGTTTCGGCACATCAACAATAATACCCAGTTTGTTTTTAAATTCTGTCTGAATTATTTTTTTTCTTTCTGCAACTGTACTTTTGTCCTTGAAGTGGTATTTGTAATTGAATTACATATTTTGGCATCAATCATTGTAAACAGCATAACATGCTTAATTGATATGCTTGATTCATTGTTCTCAATTTTCGTTTCTTCTAACTCGTTTATTTTTCCTTGCATATAAGAAAATTCTTCGTTTGTTGTCTCTATAGATTCTTTTACGAATCTTATCCGAATTGGACGGCAATATCTGGGAGACGATGGAGTCGGATTTTGCCACACTATTTTCTTGTTCGCAGAACAAATTAATTGCAATGGAACCATGGAACTTTGGAAGATGTATGCATCCGAGTCAGAACAGTTTTCAAATTTTTGTTTATACTGTGTCTGCTGCTGGGATCCATCGCAACCCCATTTACTGATTAGTTCCATTTGTAATTCATCTTCATGTAAACTCATACTTTCGAGGTATAACATTAAACGGGCAACTGTATGGTTTAATAAATCCTGCAAATTTATTTCAGCACAAGTGGCGGTCACTGTGTAGGATTCTGGAATAGGGTAACACTCCTTTTTAGCTTTTTGAAGCACAGAGTAACACGGGTACAGTTTTTTATCTCTTGTTCTTATAATTTCATATTGTTCTCTTGTTAATTGTGCATCAACAAATATCGACAAAGCTTTTACGATTGATAATTGTTCCCTTACGTTTTGCTTATCACTCGAATCAATGTTTCTATATTTTGACGCATGGTTAGGAGATTTTGTTATTTTTTTCAATATTACCGATGCATCCACCATTCCAGAAGTTCTAAGTTTTGACTGCGTGGCAAACGCTAATTCTTCCACACTTTTGGTTTGACGAAGGTCTTCAGTTCTTTTTCTTTTACTGCGCTCACACAAATCAGTGAATAATTTTGTTGGCCGACCAGATCGAGATTTTGAAAGAGGTATTTCTACCATCCCATTCAACCAATTTTCATGTTTTATTTTAAAAGCATGCTCTTTATAACTCACAGATCGCCACTTGCGTTTAAATTCAGATTTTAGGTGGGAAATTTTGTGTTTCATTACTCGACGTTGTTCATTCGAGTAGTTGGTTTGACGAAGAATAAAATGTTCGAGATATTCTAATTTTGAATTAATATTCTCGTCTTTCCTTTCTTGCATGATGTCAAATAATTTCTTTCGCGTTATTAATTGTATTCCAGATGGGCCCGCAGTTTGTATTTTAGGATTTACTGCCATCTTCAATGCCTTTAAATAATTAGCATCTAAGTAATAATAATAGAAAATATTTATATCACGCGGCACTTTTATTAACTGATACTTACCAAGTATTAAGAAAATGAAATATAATATGATGTAAGAAAAATCACAGCACTTAAATTAAAATTGAACTAATTATACATATGTAATATAACGTACTAAATTAAAGGAAAAGGGAACAGTACTTAAATATACATTACACTAATACACTTAATACATTCACAATAAATATTATATACATACATATATGATATGAAATACAAAATAACACAAAACTAAGATATAACATGTAAGATTGTAAAAAACACTTTAGATAAATCGCTCTGAACTCTCTAATGTCACTGTTTCAACTGAATGCATATAAAAATAAAAGCATTGTCGAAGACCTATTATTAGAAAAATATTAACATTTGACTGCCGATAATATAAATGGTTCCGTAGAAGAGTCTGTTAGAACGGCACGGAGGCCCAGCGAAGTCGAACGTACAGACGTACGCGAAACGCTGCTGACCGCTTCATATTAAATTAGCTATAAAACTTCAATCCGGACGAATCCGGAATCAAATTTTGTTGGCTTGTAATCACAAATCTCTACCGAATGTAATGAGACTAAATACAGCACCGGGACTTACTCGGAAGCATAACAAAATCCTTCATAAAATCTTATAATCGTAAGAAAAATAATTGATTTATTGATTACCTTCACATATTAATAACTATGCAAATATATATGATAGAAAGGTAAAACCTGTTCGAAAGTGTAGTATATATTCACTTGAAAAGTTTTTATACAATAAAAATGTACATAGCTATTTTGTAACATGTAAAATTTCGCCAATAAATGTAACATGTTTCATAGTGCCGTCAAGAAAAAAAAACGAACCGTACAATCTTCCAATTTTTAATAAAGTTTGACTGCTTTATAAGTATACAAATGAAAAAGTGGTTTTGGTACGTTGTTCTTTACACATTCAACAACTTCAAATAATAAACATTTTACAGTTTACGTAAAATTTTTTTAACCGACTTTTTTCCGGCCTTTCGGGCCAAATACCCCACTGTGCGTCGCGTCGCGTTCCTTCGCCGATGTTGCTTCAGTCAGTCGGTCGAAACAGAAGAGATCGAGAAATTCCCGTCGCGGTCTTATATAGTCGTCGACGGCGGGCCTACGTTGCCATTTACACAAAATGCGCATTATAGGCGAATCCGCCGCACGACGCGCGAATTACAAAGCAATTAATTGCTTTTGACGCATTAGAACGTTCAAAACTATAAAAACTCGTGACAAAATACACATGTAGCACATGTTTTATTTAATGAACAAAGACACAAAAAAAGTTCTTTAATTTATATAAATATATTCTTTTTCCCTCTCCCGCGATTACGAAGGTTTCGCACACAGGAAAATGATCGCCAAACTTCTATTTATCAGCGTGCACCTCGAGCTGAATTTTACCGATAACTGAGCAGCAATCTTAGGCTTTAATGCAACTTTGCAGATATGTAAATATATAGAATACTGGAACATATTCGACACTTGTCGTTTAGTTGCCTAAACGTACTGTGTATACATATGTTACGTTGCGCGTGCGACGGCGCAACGTGAAAAAAAAAGGAAAGATAAAAATTGGAGGATATAGGGTAGTTAAATTTCAATTAATTGGTTGGAATTCAACCCCTAATTCCTGCTTTCCTACTTTAGCGCGATGGTTGGTATCGCTGCCACCAGTCTCGAGCGTGTTAATGTTCTCGACAAATTAAAAGACGAAAGACAAAATTGATAAGATGTTAAGAAGTTATAATTATTAGCCTTTCGTTGGGTTCGTTCAACGCTTGATCCCGTACGGGTCCCTCCTTGAATCTGCGTATGTTGGTAGGCGTGTTTTAGCTGAAATGTGTGAGGTGCGTTTGAAATGACTGTTGAAACTGCTTAGGTCAATGAAACTGGTTTAATTGTAAATGAAAAGTCAAGTAATAGTAACAGAGAAATGCCAAAATTGAGACTTCTATAAATTTGGAAAAATTCGTTAGTGTAGAAAATACCAGTTTATGCCAAAAATGTGAACAAAGGTAAAGATGCTTAGAATTAATTAACAAAAATATATCAATATGAAAACACTCTAATATCACAGTTGAAACTAATGAGTTATGTACCGGTCATGTGAAATGATTATTACAATTTCGCTTTCCTAAAGTTACCTGTAAAATCGGCGGTTTTCGCCCGTGGTACACCCCAGCCTGAGAAATTCTCGTAACTCTCGAAAGAGCTGGACTAAGGTGCCCTTTTGATGATGGAAAAATTGGAATTGCGAGATTGCAATAAACGGGAAAAATAATAAAATCAGTCGATACCTCGTGTGATGGAACGATCTGACCTGAGATACTCTCGTAACCCTGAAGGGCTGGACCAGATCGCCCGTTTTGCCAATTGATAACGTCGCGATTGAAAAATGTAATGGAATCGACTTACCGTTACGCTGTTTAATACAATACAAGATTATAATTTTCGCTTGCTAAAATTCTGTGTATTCGCTTGATGATCTGGAACACCAAAGAACGGTAAGATTTCGATCACTGCACTTGTCGCGGCGAGAACGGATTATTACGGACGAGTACGTCGACGAGAGACAAACGAATAACGAAAAATAATTAATTACGAAAATAATCAATATATGTATTTACGCGGAATGAAGTTAATTCGAGAAATTACTACGCGAGCAAACGATTTAAAATCAGAAAGAAAAGATAGAAATTTTAGGTAGAAGGAAGATTTAACGTATGCGTCTGTGAGTCCTTGTTAAGAATCGGATTATTTCAACTACCACGGCACTCTGCCTCGCTACGCGGAGGACTTTACCGCAGAGGAAATCTATCACGAAATTCCGAACAACTCTGTCTCTCGGACAAACAGGCTCCCGATCACGTACTTACGATTGATCGATCAAGAGTGACAAATTTCGTGCGCGATCGATGGCCGAAGGGCCCGTCGCGCGAACATCGTCCTTGGAGGAGACGGTTTGGCGAATCGTAGCCCGTTTTCGGAAGTGTCGCGTGCCCGGTGATTGGCTGAGACGCGCGAGCTAGACGAAGATCTTTCATCCCCTTTCTTTGGTGTTCCTTCCTTTTCTTGTTTCTCGCCATGATAGTTTCAACGGTTTTCAGAAACTACGCAGTGTTTCTCTTTACGTGTATAATTGCATTTAATTGAGATATAACTATTGATTTGGTTAATTGTAGAATGAGATTTGAATTTGAAATATACAGGTTATGATAAAGGAAACCGTCATCCGTATATCATGATCAAAATTATACATTTTCCTGATTTGCAATAAAGATAGCCTGATTTAATATGTTTAAAAGTGGACAATGCGCTTACGGTGGTTGTCATGCCATGGCGAATTATGCATTTTACAACAATCTATCGCACATTAAACTATCGCCTTGATAAATTCGGCATTTCGCA